CAATAGATAAAATAGACTTATACAAAACAAATACCAAAATTACAAATATTGATCAATGTAAATTAGAGAATATGAACAGGTCTATATTAGGAGGCAGAATGAGTAATTGAGATTCTACAAACATAAAAAGTGAGGAGCCACATATGAAAAAGAATGTGTGATTTTTTTTGACTTTCTGAAACTGAGTAACCTCAGTAACTGTAATACTTGTCAGTATGTGTTCCCATAAATTTCACAGTTAACTTTTCCTTAACAGCTGGGTAAGGTGCAATTCTCTACATGTATCACACTTTCATTATCCATTTTGTTGTTGATGATGATGGGCATTAGGTTGGTTCCATTCCCTTATTATTGTGAATAATGCAGTGACGAATACATATGTGCAATTATGTATTTCTATGGTAGGATATGAAATCCTTTGCTGTCTCTGGGTCATGTGGCAGTCAGAATTGGGCATTTAAAAATAAAAAAAAATTTATACTGATTTCCATATCGGTTGCACTAGTTTACACTCTCACACCAGCAGTGGATAAGGGCACCAACATTTTTTTGTCACTTGTATTTTTTGTTTGTTTATTTTCTTGTCAACTTAACACAGCTAGAGTCATTTTAGAAGCAGGAAGCTCAACTGAGAAAATGCCCCTACCAGACGTTCCCACCAGAGTGGTAATGTCAGTGTTAGCATGCCTGGTGCACTTTTCTTGACTGATAGCTGATATGAGAGGGCCCTGTTCACCGTGGGTGGCGCCATTTCGCTGGTGGTCCTGGGTGCTATAAGAAAGCAAGCTGAACAATCCATGTGGACCAAGCCAGGCAGCCCTCCCCCCAGAACCCCTAATTCAGTTCTTGCTCATGCACCTGCCTTGAGTTCTTGACCTAACTTCTCTTCATGATGGACTGTGACCCCAGGGGAACTTACCCCCCCAAGTTGTTCTGGATCATAGCGTTTCATCACAGCAATAGAAGACTAACGAAGACAGTGGTCACTCTGATGGGGGTGAGGAAGATTTTCAAAGTAGTTTCAACGTGGTTTTAATTTACATTTCCCTGATAGCTGAGGGTGTTTAACAGTTTTGAAAACACTTGTGGGCCATTTTTGTTTCTTTGAGAACTGACTGCGCTTTTCATTAACTCATTTATCACTAACAGTTATATGGTTTCGGTATTTAACTTTATAGTGCTTTATTTATTCTATACATCAAGCTCCCTATGTGAGGTATAGCTGGCAAAGGCTTTCTTCATAATCTGTGGGATATCTATTTGTTCTGCTAATGAGTTTCCTTGCTTTGTAGAAACTTTAAATTTTCATGAAGTCTGCTTCTTGATTCTTAGACTATGCCCTGAGATATTAGAAATCTATTCAGAAAGTTCTTGTCTATACCATTGGCAATACCCAAAACAAGTGTATTCCCTATGTTTTACTTTAGAAGTTTCAGATTTAAATTAAGGCCTTGGTGTCAGAGAAATGGCCCAGCTTTCAAAAGCATGACATAGTCTTCAGAAGACCTGAGTTCAGGTCCCAGCACCTATGTTTCGCAGATCACAACTGTCTGTAGTTCCAACTCATGGCTCTGTGGGCATGAGACTTCACACACACACACACACACACACACACACACACACACAGTGAAAAATAAAAAATTATACCTGAAATTAATGTTCTTGAACATTTTAAATTGACTTTTGCAGAAGGCTAAAGATGTAGATCTAAGTTCATTCTTCTGAGTGTTATATGTTCAGCTGTGTCACTGACATTTCTTAAAAAGGCTGTCCTTTTCCATGAATGTTCTTGATGCCTTTTTCAAATTTAGGTACCCATTGCCATCCATTTATTTCTGGGTTCTTTATCCTGGTTATTGCCCATTTATGTGCCGATACCATGGTGTCATATTTACTATGGTTTTATATTATAATCTGAAGTCAGGCCCTATGATACCTCCAGCAGTGTTCTTTCCATTTAGGGAAAGACTATCTATGGTCAGTTGTGTTTACATGTGATTGTGACTTTTTGGATTATCTTCTAGTTTCCTGAAGAGTATCATTGGAATTTTGATGGGGATTAAGGCAAATATGCAGATTACTTTTATTCATATTGTCATTTTCATAAAATTAACTCTGCCAGTTCAAAAACATGAAAGGCATCTCCCCTATCTGGCAGCTTATTTAATTTCTTTTTCAGTATCCATCATTTACATGGTGTTTTGAACTAATAATTATTGTTAACATTTCTTTTATAGTACGCTTTCCTATCAAAGATTGTTTACACATTTCATTCACAGTATGGTGAACATGCCATGCCTGTGATATGCTTTCCACAGTTAGATATTATGGAGCCCTCAGTGACATATTGGTAAAAGACCATCCATAGGAACAAACCCTTGGAATTTATCTTTTCTGATACTTTTATATCATTATTGCTACTTTCATGTAATAAAGCATGCATTCAAAATTCAAGATTCAATAGCTTAGTCTGCAAATTGCCTGTCTTACAAGCATGAGGACAAGACTTTAATACTCCAACAGTCATGCAAACAATCTGGATATCACAGAACATACTTGTAATATCAATGCTTGCTTGAGAGGAGGAGCCAGGAAGATCTCTAAAGTTAACCAGCCATACAACCTGGTCTATTTGGCAAGTTCCAGGCCAATGAGAGACCTTGACTAAAGAATAAAATGGATATCAACTAAAGAACCCTAGCCTATGTTATCTCCTGATCTCTATTACATGTGCATGCACATGCACGCAAACAAAGCTGGACTCACACAAGCATGTGAACACACATGAATGCATACATGCATACAAACATACACACAAAAACTGCTTACTCTCTTGCATGCAAATTTTCCAAAGAAAACTTTTTATAATTGAAAAAAATGTGTTTTGAAGTTCTGTACAAATTAAATAAATGATCTGAAATAGTCTACTTAGCATCTTCTCTGTCAAAATCTATAAAATGAAGTTTATAATTTACCTTTAAGGACACATTGAGCAAGACTTAAGGTCATGTGCCATTCTTGAGTATCAGCTGATATAATGACTCTGAATGAATTTTCTGCTGTCTCTTTGGGCTGTTCAGGTTCTCTGTACAGTATATAAGTGGAGAATGAGTTGAAGGCATAAGCATCTTCTGCCTTCAGGTCCCTATCTGGAAATAGCATTGCCACATTTCTCTTTCTTTTCATTGCAAGGGCCACACCTCGGCCCCCTGTGGCACTTTTTCTTCAAGGGAATGTTTTTGATACTTGAAGAAGTCACCAGGCAGAATACTGGTTCTCTCCTTCATGGGAACATTCGAAAATAGAATGGCCGGTATGGTTTGATTTAGAAACCACTTCAAGAACACTTCGCAGGCACTTAGCAGCTTTTGGGATAGAATTCTTCTGGAACGTTTTAAGTCCATTGCTACTTCTGCAAAAGTTGTTTCTAGAACTACTTTTGAAAGAGAGATCCACAGGACTGGAGAGATACTCCGCAGTTAAGAGCACTGGCTACTCTTGAAGAGGACCTAGATTTAATTCCCAGCAGCCATGTGACAGCTCACAACTATCCAATTACTTCCAGGGAATCCAATACCTTTTTCTGACCTATGCAGTCACCAGGTACACAGATATACAAGAGAGCAAGATGCTCGCATACATAAAAGTTGAATAACCTCCCTTTAAAATTTGAAGAAGAGAATCACAGAAGAGGGAGAATTTTTATCTCTCTGTCCCCCCAGCGGTTTGGTGAAGAATCCCTGCCCAATTGTGAGGAGTTTTTGTTTCAGGGCAGGTTTTCCTTTGTATCCTTGACCTCTTTAACTGAGAATATATATGGTCAAGTGGGTCTCATGTAATGAGACTCATCTGTTTGGACATCAAAGCAAAACTCCATTCTCAAATGAAAAGATTCTCTAACTGACTTTGATCTTGTAGTATAAACAGCCATGGGTTCCATGTAACCTTCATTCTGAGGAGGCCAAGAGATCACACTGCTCCATACAGTGTGCAGCACAAAGATAAAAGTAACAGCTGAATAACTGTAACAGAATCAAGCTGTCCCAGTGGTGAACTTATTGGCACATCTTATCAAAAAGGAAAAAGGCACATGCTACATTTTAATGTTTTGCTAAGGTCTAACAATTTCCCTGAGATTATAATTAAGAAAATATTATACTTGGCAGAACTTTCTGCTATTATCAACTAACCGAAAATCAAAAGAGAAGCATATTGTATAATATAATTGCTGTAAATTGTAGCTTTTTAGAATATTAGTGTAAGACCTGGAAGGATTCTCATTGTATGTGTGTGCTTTCTGGAAGGACAAATTGCAAAATTAGTTTCATGCAATTTTGTAAATGTGAACAGTAAATCACGGAGAATACTTTGCTTTTATTCCCTCTATACATAGATTAATTTTGTCTGAATCTGAGGCACAAAACCTCATTTAAAAAAAAAAAAAAAAAAAAAAAAAAAAAGCTTTAATAACTAGTTGGGTGCTATGTCTCTGTATGACAGCAGATGGCAGTATCGATGCAGCAAAAATTCAAGTTTTTGGGGTTTGGGGTGTGTGTGTGTGTGTGTGTGTGTGTGTGTGTGTGTGTGTGTCTGTGTGTCTGTGTGTGTGTGTGTGTGTCTGTGTCTGTGTCTGTGTCTGTCTGTGTGTTCCCATCCTGTTTAAACTTCTGTGGTTCCTGAATCTAAAATTTGTAATGAGAAACTATAGTCAGAATTTTCTTAGCATTCTTCTCTCCATATTTTACTTCTTTTTTAAATAAGGGTATGCATTCTCTATTGTTCTCCTTAGACCTTGAAAAAGTTGGCATGCTTCAGCACAACAACAACCAACGCTTGTTTTTTTTTTTTTTTTTTTTTTTTTTTCCCCATTTGACTAGATGAATGCTAAGAAAACACAGGCCAGTGTGCCTGAGAGTTTGGAATTCTACACTCCAAACTTCTGTTTCTTAATCTATGTGCAACTTTGCTAAGTACCAATGAGGGATACCCTCTCCTTTCAGATTCCAGGAACTTCTTCTGTGGTTCAGAGAAAATGGAAGCAACCACAGCCAGTTTCTCAGCCGCGAGGGTCCGGACAGCAGAGCAAGGCCCGGATTAGTGCTGTAGCTGCTGAGATAAAGCAGATCCGAGCCAGAAGGAAAACAGCCCGGATGCTCATGGTCGTACTTCTGGTCTTTGCAATTTGCTATCTACCAATCAGCATCCTCAATGTGCTAAAGAGGTAAAGCCCATGTATTTATTTGAAAATGAAGCAGCTGCAGCTTGACATTTAATTAAGAACTCTCTTCTTCCTAAACAGACAAAACCCTCTCCTAGTGATGTAGTTGTCAAAGCACTTAAGGCAACATTAGCCTTCTAGCATGCTCAAAAAATATACACTTGCTCAGTCAGTGAAGATGGCAGATGGCAGATGACAGTTACTTTCCTAACCTCTTGGGGTTGACTGCTAAGCCTTAGATGGAGAAAACACCCCACTAAAAATTGTGTTTCAATAACTAATTTCATAAATAAATAAAAATCAACTACAGTTCTGAGTTCTTTTTCATGAGAATAAATGGGTTTTCCAACTTTGTTCTCAAATATATAAACAACCATACGACAATCCTTTCTGTTAAAAATAAATACTTTTCAGAATTAAAAAAAGAGATAAGAATACTTTGTTTGGGGCACTAAACAAGAAGTAACGAAGCAGATATTTGGTGTTGAACATTAGACCGAAAAAAGAATGCCCATTTCTTGAAGTCAATGTAATAATTTCAGTATCAATGCTAGTATCATGTTAGTATTATGTTAATATAATATAGTATAACATATTATGTTATATATGTTACATATTAATATGTAACTATAACATATAGCATTTTTACAGTTAGCATTAGTGCATAATTTGTTACATTTTAGACAAAACTATGACATTTTTAAAAAAAATTTGTCAAGTGACATGAATAGCTAGCTTCATTGGGAAATATCAAACCCATTGCACAAAGACTGGTCCCAGGGCAACATTAATTCTGTTTATAACAAGTTTCTAACTCAATCTGGAATCTCTCCTGTCCCTTTTCCCAAAGTCGGAGTCAGCATCCTATTCCTCACAGCTGGGGACCTTCGGGACAGGTAGGTTTGGCTAGAGTCAGGCAAAGGGTGGTGTAACCAACTGCAGAGACTTCTTCCCTTTGGCCACTGGTTTTGATTGTTTAAAAGCATTTTTGCTAAAGAAGTAGAAAATGAACTTTTGTTCAGAACCATTATAGTATAAGGTCATGAAAGCTCCTGTCCTTGAGATATGTGTCCTCTCACAAGACATAATTTACGCTCTGCTTCTGTTAATTCCTCACAGAAATCAAATACAAAAATATTAAGAGCTTTGCTGTTCTGTTTTCTGATATTAAGAACATCATAAACATGAATGACACTGAATGGATTCCTCCTTCCTCTCCCCCTCACCCTCTCCTCCATCTCCTACCTCTTTCTTCTCCTCCTTTTCCATCCCCCTCTTCCCCCTCCTCAAGAATCTTTTAAATTTTTATCACTTTGTGCAGTGCAGATTTGAATTTCTTCTATCTCTACTCTAGTACCTCCCCCCCTCTAATCATTTCCAGATGCCCTCTTGTCAATAATATTTATCTTATTTTTCTGAATTAAATACCATCTTTTCCCGGATGGGGGAGAGGGGGACTTTAAGTTTAATTTAAAACATTTTTCAAGTTTTGAGTAATTTGCCTGTTTGTGTACACACAAACATTTAACGTAATCTTAAAATTGTTTTTACTGCATACAGTCTTTAAAATATGTATAATCTTTAATTTAGCCTTGCCTTGCATATTCTTGTTTTTATCTGGTTGGTTAAAGCTAACTTCCTCAAAGCAGTATCTATCTCCAAGATTTTAAACTAGCACTTGTATCATATTGCATATTTAATTTGTCCACATTCTTTCACTCTGTGTGTGTTCCAAGTTTCTACTACTCTATAGAGCATCACTTCATCCCAGAAATTCATATCTATTATGTACCTTTCTCTTTAGAAAGATACAAATCACATAATTATTGACCACACCTCTAGACAGGATGAGACATGTTGTCTCTTCATCCTGGGACTTAATGAGTAGCTGCAAGTGTGTGGGTAGGTTAGTGGTCACCATTATTGAATTCTTCAAAAGAGAGAGAGAGATCTAATTATAGAATACAGTGGGTTTGTTTTTTGAGTTTTGTTGTTGTTGTTGTTTTTCTTTTTACTGCTGTGTGTGTGTGCTCTGTGTGTGTGTGTGTGTGTGTGTGTGTGTGTTATTGTTGTTGCACACATATCATACATAGCACAGGTATGGGGGTTAGAGGACAAGAGGAAAACTTATGGAAGCCAGTTCTTGCTTTCCATGTTTTAAGACAGGATCACTCTTGATTTCCACAACTGTGCTGTATACGCCAGGCTAGCTGGCCTGTGAGCTTCTAGGAGAGTCTACTGTCTCCACCTCCCATCTCACAATATGATCACTGGGATTACAGACATGCACCAATATATCAGAATTTTATGGGTGTTCTGAGAATCTGAACTCAGGTCGTTAAGTCTTCACAGGAAATGTTTTTACCCCCTACCTAATCTCCCCACACCAAAGAAAACAATCTTAACATTGCTCAAAATTGGCCTTTGAGGTTACTGTAATACATTTTTAGTTTAATATATTGTATGAAAGCTTGAAACTCATGTACCTAAGGATTACCAGAATCTTATCCATGGAAACCAAGTTATTGTCTGTATACAGAGACATTCATGGCAAATTTCAACAAGGCTGGGAGCTTTAGAATTGAGGAAATATACATTCATCAGTACAGAAGTGGAAGTAGGAAGAATTTAGCAGTTCTGGGTCTGGGGAGATGGTTTAGTGGGTAAGAACAGTGGTTGGTCTTCCAAAGGACCAAGTTTCAATTTCTATCACCCGCACGGCTGCTGACCACCATCTGTAACTCCAGTTAAAGATGATCTAGCAACCTCTTCTTACCTCTGTGAGTACCAGGCATACACACAATATATTCAGGGTACCACCTGTACACGTAAAATATTTTTTTAATGGACATTGCAGAATAGCAACAAGGTTAGTTAATCACATCTAGAAACAAGATGACAGAAGGGAAATTCAGCTTCTGTCTTCATCACATTTCTGATTCCAGCCTTTTCCTCTGAGCTGATTCAGCTTTTGATTCACTGATGGGTACCCAAAACCATTCTTAAGAGGAGACTAGGCTGTCAGTGCCTTCTAGAATTCAAGGCTGGGTTATTGCTGTGATGTTTGTTCAACTTTGGCTTCAATTATTTAAAAATCACTCTAATTTTCTGTTTCTGTTTCCCTCCCTACAGAGTATTTGGGATGTTCACACACACCGAAGATAGAGAGACTGTCTATGCTTGGTTCACATTTTCTCATTGGCTTGTATATGCTAATAGTGCTGCAAACCCAATCATTTATAATTTTCTTAGTGGTAAGTTTTCAGTATTTATTCATTTGGCCTCTCCTCAAGAGTGGTACAGTTCTGAAGTAGATGCAAAAGTTAGTTTCTCTTTGAGCTATGACAATCCCTTTTAACTAGTACGGTTTTTCCGCCTGCCGCCGCCCGGTCTTGTCCTGCCGCCGCTCCGCCAGCCCCAAATAATACACAGAGACTCTGTATTTGATACAATACTGTTGGCCCTGTTAATTGTTCCTTATCTGCTAGCTCTGCCTTTAATTATTAACCCATTTCTGCTGATCCATGTATTTTCACATGGCCTTCTCTTACCGGGGAGGCGGCTGGCATCCAGCTCTTTCCAGACTCACCATCTTGACTCCTGCTTCCTCCTTCCTATTTCCTCCTTGTCTCCTAGTCCCTCCTATCTTCCTTTCCTATTGGCCAACAGAGCTTTATTTATTCATTAACCAGTATGAGAAACATATACAGAATGACATCTCCTATCAGTCCCTGACTAGATGGATGTAACTAGGAAAAAAAAAATCCTGAGTGAGATAACCCAGAGCCAGAAAAATAAACACAGTATGTACTCACTCATAAGTAGATATTAGATGTAAAACAAAGGATAACCAGACTACAATCCACAAACCTGGAAAAGCTAGGTAAAAAGGAGGAGGCTAAGAGGGAAACACATGGAGGGCCCCAGGAAGGGAAAATAGTTAAGAGCTCCTGGGTAAACTGGGAAGGGAAGTAAAAAGGAGGGGGTTGAGGATAGGAACAGGAGGACTCCAGATGACCCAGTTGGGGGAGGGATGGAGAGGGAGAGCAAAGAGATATCTTAATAGAGGGAGAGATAATGGGATTAGGGAAAAACCAGGTTTTATAGAAATTCCAAGGAATACACAAGGATGACCCTAGCTAAGACTCAGCAATAGTGGAGAAGGTGCCTGACCGAATAATCAAATTGGTGACTACCCTAATTGTCATAGAATGTAATCCAGTAACTAATAGAAGCAGATGCAGTGATCCCCAGCCAAGCACTGGGCTGAGAGCTCTTAGAACTTAATTGAAGAAAGGGAGGAAGGATAATATGAGCAAGAGGAGTTAATATCATGATTGGGTGACCCAAGCTAGTGGGAGCTCATGGACTCTGGACTATCAGAGAGCCTACAGGGATGCCTGCATGGGACCAAACTAAGTGCTCTGAATGTGAGTGACAGTTATATGGCCCCCGGCAGTGGGACCAGGACTTATCCTGGGTACATGAACAGGCTTTATGGAGCCCATTCCCTATGGTGGGATACCTGACTCAGCCTTGATACAGGGTAAGGACTTGATACACCAGACTTTGTTGACCCCCCCCAAGGGAGGCTTTATCCCTTCCAAGGAGTGGGTGGGGGTGATTTAAGGGGAGGATGGAGGACATGAGAAGGGGAGCATTAAATGGGAGCTGGGTTAGAATGTACCTTGAAAAACAATTTGTTTTGCCAGTAAATAAAAAGGGAAGGAAAGGAAGGAAGGAAGGAAGGAAGGGAGGGAGGGAGGGAGGGAGGGAGGGAGGGAGGGAGGAAGGGAGTGAGGGAAGGAAGGAAGGAAGGAAGGAAGGAAGGAAGGAAGGGAGAGAGGGAAGGAAGGAAGGAAGGAAGGAAGGGAGAGAGGGAGGGAGGGAGGGAGGGAGAGATGGAGGGAGGCAGTGTGTGAGGAAAGAAAGAAGGAAGGAAGGAAGGGAAATGAATACATGCTGCCATGATCTGATCTGTTTTCTTGTGAGTGTGGGCCATCCACTGGAGCTTGGGAACCTTCAAGTGACCACATCAGAACTGTGATGCTGTTATCTACTTTTTTGTATTATTTTGTTCCCAATTACTTGGCTATTTGTTTACTTCCATTTCTAACTATATAGTCATTTTTATATGCCAGAAAACTATTTCCTGTACATTTAATAAATAATGTTTGTTTCCAATCTCATATTGACTTTTTGGCTTTCATGGTTTGTCTCAATTAGGTAGTTAGATAGTGATAGACTTGGTGGGAAGATAATTACAAATAGAAGGATCTATTACAGATCTCAAAAAGTTAAAAAATGATCAAAGTATTTTTAGTGTTTTTGCCATGAATATGTAACAAATGCTTGCATCTATTTAATTCCATTTAAGCTTTAGTAACTACATACATTTATTGGAAATATAACCTGGCACACCAGATATATAATTTTCATGATGCCGTGTACTTAAAAAGTTTAATTGGTAAAAGAAAAGCACAACCAATTTTTTTTCTGAAAAGTAAGTTTGTCACTTTGAAAATAAGCGCTGCACACTCTCTAGAGCTCTGACCTTGTTCTAAAATCTGCAGGGAAGTGAAGAGGCAAGTTTTGAAGCAGAAGGCATAGACCAAGGAAGAGTCCTCTTGCCAGGCTAAGCAAGTCAGAGGAGGCTGGCCGTTGTCCTAGGCCTGTGAACAGCCACCACACTTGGTCCCGCAGTAGCCTAGGGAGATAATTTAGGCACAGAGAGAATAGTTTCCAACATGCCCATCAGTCTAATAAAGATGATCATTCCATCTTCTTAAAAGCCTAAGATCTCACTAAGAGTTTAAAGAGAAGGACTTCCTAAGATTTCTCCGGTGGCTTTCTTTTCCTATCTTGTCACACATAGATTGTGAAAGAGGAATTTTTCTTAGGTACTTCAATGTCTTTTTCCTGTCTTGAACTGCTATGTTACCAGAATTTTTATACACACCTCTGTTTATTTACTTATACACAATGTACATGCCATTGCTTTTAAAGCAATTAGGTGTGTGCGCACTTTTCCTAAGAGCCATTTAGCATTTTTACGGGGTTAAAAACTAACAAAAACACAGGGGTTTTGACTTTAAAGAAATAAAACAAATGCCAAGTATTAATAAGAAAACACTTCATCATTTAATTTCCTTTCTCTATTTCCTTTATTGATGCAAAATGCTTCACCTCACTGTTCGTTTGTCTCAAGGGAACGACTGATTTGTACCCTGTGCACTAGGTGTTGAGCTGTTTATACATAATTCACTTTCCTTTCCTTTCTTTCTCTCTGGTCTGCCAGGAAAGTTTCGAGAGGAATTTAAAGCTGCCTTTTCTTGTTGTCTCGGGGTTCCTCATCGCCAAGGAGATCGGCTCTCCAGGGGACGCACAAGCACAGAGAGCAGGAAGTCCCTGACCACTCAGATCAGCAACTTTGATAATGTATCAAAACTCTCAGAGCACGTGGTGCTCACCAGCCTAAGCACACTCCCAGCAGCCAACGGGGCAGGACCACTTCAAAACTGGTAGAACATTTATTGCTATGAGGAGGATACACGACTCAACTATTCTTTTATACAAACTTTGTGAACGGAAGTTTCAGTATCCAGTTGATGTAAAACTAAAATTACTTGTCAATCCTTTTTTTTGTTTTTTTGATCGTTCACTCTTCGGAAATAAGTAAATTTGAAATATTTCTTGAACCATTTCCTTGAACATGTTATATGTTTAAAGTGCAGCTGGATTTATTTTAGGCTATTTCTTCTTAGTTCTATGAACTGAAGTTTGTGGCAATTAAGGGTTTGAACATTTCTAATTCTTTTTATAACCCCTTGACATTTTAATCTCACAACTCAAAATGGTTGCTAAACTCACCGAAAATTAATCATTTTCTTTTTTGACTGGTAAAAGAAGTAACAATAACTAACTCTCAGTTAACAGCAAACATATGTTAATTGACAATATATATATATTTTTTAATTTCACAAAAACTATCATTGCAATGTGCTTACCTGGGAGACTATTTATGAGTCAATAGCATATAATTAGTATAGATTCTAAATCTATCTTTCCAAATCCCATGAAATATATACTATCAAGCTTAATTTGCCACTAATTTTATTTGTAATTTACTAAATGTTCTCAGGTTTATAACCTTATCTAAGAATTTTTTGTGCAATACAGAATCAAACTGGCTGTATTAAAGTAAAAACTTTGCAGCAACTACTAATACATAATCATTTTCATCTCTGGGGAGGATTAAACATTTAAATTAAGAGCTAAAAATCAGATTATCCTATTCTTCAAATTAGGGACAATGAGTTAGTGAGCCTTGCTGGAGTCAGAATATGACAGTGTAGTAAGTCAGAGGAAGTGAGGGAAGGCCAGGGTTTGAAAAGGGCTGTAGTCCAGTTCTGGGGTAGGGCTGACTAGCCCAGAACTTCCTTAGTGGTTTACAGTAGGCTACAGTTTAGTCGTCATCACTGAAAACAACCAACAAATAAATGAAACAAGGCTTGTTGTAGTCTAATAAGGGAGAAAAGCTGAGGGGCATAGCAGAGTAGTCACACAACTACCAAAGACAGTGGTCCCCACCACAACACTGGCAGTACTGTTACAACCCCCACTCCATCCCCATTTAGATATAGTATGCTCTCTGTGTTTGTAATTCTAGCATGCCTGAGGCTAAGAGATGGGAAGTTAGGAAAATAGAAGGCTTGCTACTTACTCATGCACAAATGGAAAGGACAGAATATATTTTGCACAAATGTAAATCATGGGATTGAAATGATTTATTATTTCAAATTTGTTCTCTACAAAGTTCTTCTGATGCAAGTATCCATTTCTAAACTAAATTAGAAGTTTAAAATTATACTTACAAAGTTGTTCTTCATCTCATAGTGAGCAGTGGGCACTCTGATTATATCAAAATGGGACATATTAATATTTAAGAGAGATTTTATTTGAAAATAATTATATTGTCATTTTGCCTTTTGCTCAACTCTTCATCCTCAGAGAAAAATAATACCACCAAATTATCCATACTTTCTTTTCCAAAGTTTAGGATTTTGTTACCATGTGCCTTTTAGTACTCTAAGCCAGGACTACCCTCTTATACGAGGCGTATCACAGTTATATGGCTGAATATTGTGATGTTCCATATCTATGAACATGACACTTTCAATGTCTCCTTTCTCCCCTTTGAGAGCTTTGTCTGACACATGAGAGAGCTGTAATTTTCTGATTGTGATGACAGTTAGCACTTTAATATTTGAAGATAACTTCAAATCCTCTTGGTAATAAGCCTTAATAGTCTTGCAGCTCAATAAAGATGATATAATGGTCTTACCCAATATAATTGAGCTTCATTAATTCTAAGTCGTTAGACAGTATTAGATCCTAAGATGCCAGTTCTTGTTATATAAGCAAGAGGAGAAGCCTTGAGAATGGAGGGTGGAAAAGTGTGGGAAAAGAGAGGGGGTGGGGAAGTGAGAAGAAGAGAGGGAGAATGGAGAAAAGAAGCTGCATTGGTATGGTCAATCAAAAGTCAGAATTTGTTTGTTCTAAATTAATAATCCTAATGTGATGTAGTTCCTGAACTATCAACATCTGCATTTTCAAGGAACTGAGATTAAACATGTGTTCCAAACTTACTGAACCAAATCACTTGGGTTCGGTATCCAGGAATGTGTGTGATTACAATTCTACAGGCAATTGTGCAGCTCTTTAGCTTTGAGAACCTCTGCTCTAAATGGTGTCTCCTGGCATCAACTTATTAACCCATATGAACTAAAGTCTTTTACTGCACAGGTATCTACAACAGGGAGTACCGTCTTCACTGCTGTCGACCTGGCTGGAGGTCTGAAAGAAGAAGCTGAGTGTCCATGTGGAATCTCACCCATGTCATCTCAAAGAGATAATGGTTTACAAAACAGTTGCCACTGTGTTCTTAGTGTGATGTTAAAGAAGATGGATTTTAAGGCACTTATGTGTTTCATAAGTGACCTAGATGACTTGAGAGTTTGTTAAAACTTCCCAATTACCAATTTTATTTGCTAATGTTTCTGCTTTATGGAAGCACTTCATTTGCAAGAATAACTATTGCCTGGAAGAAAACTGATGAATAAAACTGGTACATAAATGAATCTCTGGGAAAGGAATCATGAAACATGTATACATTTCTCAACATTAGGGCCCATGAATCCTGAGCAATTTGGATTAATATGGTGACCTTCATAGGACAAATGGTTGAAAAACACAGGAGGCCCCAAAACAGCAATGTTATCGGGGTGCTTAACTATTTACCTCATTGTGTGCTAATAACACAAATGAGAAACTTCATGGGAAAAGTTTATTTTGGAGCTGAGTTATGCTGATCATTGGACATTTATCTGCCTTTATTTCTATTGTTACTCAAACTTTCAATGTGAGATGTTATTGTCATTAGTTTTGTCACTAATAAGGATGTGTAATAATTTTACCAATATATATTTGAAATTAATAACTTATGAATTTTTATAATATCATAAAAACCTTGATGTTTTGAGTTCATTCATTTGGGGCTAAATATTATCCCAAGTTGGTGTGAAAAAAGTGTGACTTCTAAATTTTCCACAATGTGGAATTACTAAGTAGTAGTAAACTATAGACAAGTTTAGTGAAAGGGTGTTAGGCACAGTAATACTCAGTTTCACCACAGTACGCACTGATTCAGGAAGAATAGTAACTATGCTTATAAGTGACAATGTGAATGTGTATAGACATGATACTGATCATACCTGAAATGAGGGCTATTAGCACTTTGATACAATGTAACAATATCAGGTTTGCATTAGCTGTGAATCAAACAAAACTCAAATGCATTCCAAAAACCATGGCTAGTCCTTACAATTAGAAACATTTCAACAGAAAGTACATTTCAACAAGCAAAAGCATAAATTCTATTAGATTATTTTCAAATAGTTTTCACATTGCTTGAAGCAAGTAATGGGGCTTGGGGGGGTCATTAGATAAGTAGAAAAGTATTAATTTACAACCCATCGTATTGCTTCACGCACAGCAGAAAACAAAGAATAGGAACATGAGAAGCACTGTTAGTTCTCCAAGTTCAAAGGGAATGTTTTTTCTACAGCTTTCTGCTATTGAAAATGGGAACAAAAGACTCCCCAACTTGCCACGTATTTCTATTCTTTTAAATTTTCTCTGTAGGCTTTGTAGTTAGAAAATCTAGGTTTTTCATGAAATGTGTTTCTCTTATTGTATCCATGTATGTATCAGCATGTCAGTTGTTTAACATGTATACATTCAAAGTCCTTTATGCCTGATTGTACTGTGTGTGTCTTCATGAAGATCTTTCTTATCAAAACAATGTGATTCTATGTCTCCCAGTGTGAAGGTTGAATTATGTAGTTTTTAAGTAAAATATTACTGAGAAGTCCGAAATCACATCTACATTGTCCTGCTGTACTATGTGAAAAATTATATTGTTGTTCAATACATAAATTGGATATTTGCTCATAATTATTGTCAAATCTTTGCAGTTAAGGATTGAATTAACCCTGATGCCATACTTGATGACCAAAATATTTTTCCAATAAGTTTATATAACCAGGGATAATTATGATATAAAAGATTTTTAATATTGTTTCTAAGAGGAGGTACTACAACAAAGGTTAATATTAAATACACAAATATTTCATAGAAGTTATATAAAGCCACAACACACTTATAGAACTAAAAATTGAAGCCTTTATCTGAGTCAGAATTTCCTCCGTTTGTGGCTTAAAATAATGATCCCATTAATTTTCAAATTACTATCATAGTCTGCAAATGCATGAGTTAGTTTCTTCTAGGTAATTAAACTTTTTAACTATACCTCTAGTTGTCTCTTTTTTTAACCAATTGATTCTCACAACTTCAGAATCTAGTGCAAATGGTTTAAATTTTTAAGCTCTGTTTTAATTTGGAACATTTTATTCTAATCTTTATGAAAACATCAAATGATCAAGGTAAACATTTGACTCATAAAGAAGTATGATCAAAATATCATTTGGCTTCCTTGGGGGAAGAGAGCTATTTTTAAGTAAGGTTACAAGAGGAAATTGTCAGTGGTGAGAATATCATGGGGTAATCCACAGTCACACACTAGATACCAGCCCTAAAGAGAAGGTATAGCATCTTGCCTTCCACTCAAGCCAATGGTCATGCACCAGGAGTGTCAGAGGAGAACTTGTGGAGGGCTTCTTTGGTCCTGTCCACTTCATCTGGTTCTGGTTGGTCACCTGTTCTGTTTTTCTTCAAGTCCATCCTTATCCTGTACTCCAAAGCCCCAGGGCCACTTACCACCCATTACTAGCCAATTCCATTAGGCTCTCCTTGTCTCCTGAAGTGAGCAAGGATCAAATTACAGAACAAATGAATCAAATCTCAAGAAAAAAAGAAAAAAGAGAAAGGAAGAGGAGATATTTCACAGTTTATCTCAGGAAATAAATGAACATGGAAGTGCTAAGGTCTTTGTGATAGGAAGTACAGCTCTGTGTATATATCCAGGAAAGCATAACAATGCCTTGTGTTAGTTATATCTTTAGAAATTAGAGTATCCTCCCT